ACTCACTGTGAAGGGACTTGAAAGGTGAATGGGCAGACATGGCAGCCTGACTGGGAACTAAAGCAGTCATTTAAAGAGCGTTTCATTTCTCATTAAAGAAAGGCTTATAAACAGACTCTTGGATTGCTCTTGTCACTGTGGTTTGCTAATTTTACTGAAGGACGATTTCCACCATGAGGAGGACAAACTAGGAAACAAATTTAGTAAGTCTTTCTTGTATTATTTGTGCTACTAGTTTGAATAGGACAGGATTACATTTACGTCTTGGGAAAAAAAGATCATCTTACAACAGTCAGGGTCTGATTTTGTAAACTGTAAGAATATGTTTAGCGTGTAGACTAGTTTTGTCCAAATAACAGAAAGGCAAAAGAAAAAGAAAAATGATTTTGTAATACAAATTTTAAAAAATGAAAGACAAAGAAAGACCAAAAAGGATCTATAAAACCTATAAAAGCATTACGTTATTTTCATTTCACCTATTTATTATTATTATGCCATCACACTGCCTTGCAACCATTTAGCAAAAGACTAAACTGTTATAGTGGAGCAGGGCTTTGGCTTATTTTTACAGTTTGCCTCAATATACTTTGATAAGTTTGATAGCATATGAAGGTGGACACACCACAATGCATAGAAAACGCAAGGGTTCAAAAAAGTAAGTACAGTCACTTTTGAAAATGAAAAAAACAATGTACTACCCCTATTTTTTTTATTCCTCAATATGAATAAGTACATCAGTTTTCTAGCTGCACAAAGCACAGACCCAATAATATTGGCCCTATACTATGGTCCTGTACTAGTTAATGAACAATGCAAGAAAAGCCAAAATAAAATCAATCAATCAAAAAAAACAAAAAAACTTACTTATCCTGACCTTCCTCAGTGATAAAGTTTGTCTTGAGTGTATTTTGCAGTCTTGTGACAGCACATTTGTAATTTATCCTGTCAGAAAATCACTATTGTTGAAAGAATTGCTTTTATTTCTGGGGCTTATATCCCACTGAGGAGGTCTTAATATTATTTGGCATAACATCCTACTCAGTACTACCGGTACAATAAAGTGATACGTGAGACGGTTTATGCATAGTTTTGTTGTTGCTGTTGTTGTTAATTTGACTAGCACTGATATGCAAATTCACTAAGAGCTAAATACTACATTTAAAAGCAGTGTGGCCTGTCAGCTCTTTACCTAAAACCTAAGAAAGGCAAAATAAAAGCTCCATGATGCTGACAATAGTAGTTGTGAACCACGCAGGCTTGTTCTTTTTGAACTTAAACATTTCGTTGCATGTGCCTCTTTTTCCGGAGACAAACTTGTTTTTGTTTAGAATTCCCACGATTTAAATTGAGTGGCTTCATTATTGCTTTTTGTTTACTGTTGTTGTTCTAGTCACAATAAATGAAAATGTTGCACAAAGAAAATGAGTGAAATCAGACAGAATAAAATAAAAAGAAGTGAAACCTTTTCTGCTGAGTCCACTTTGTTTAAATATTATGTTGATTTGCAGGTACAATAAACTTTCTAAGCATATATTTGAAATACAGTTGCTCGTTCGAATCAAATCCATCCAGACTTTATCCCGACTCTTAAGCCACTTTTGGTAGTTTTCCCATCCATCTTTGTTTAACATCAACCATGAGCTGGACCTATTATGCTCATTCCAAGCTCCTTATTCTAACTTTGCACTGGAGTTCCTTTGCTTAATTCAAAGTTAAAAATAATCTTTATAAGCAGTAAAATCTATTATTTCTACTGTGTAGACAACCCTCCCTTTAAGCAGGCTATCTTCTGATTGGATGTCTCCTGAGATGACCACATTATGAGTATCCCTTCTTGCCAGCATCACAAAGACCCAAGAGGCAAAATGTTACAGTGATTACTTGTAGATACACTGACCTAATCATTGGCCCAAATATTACCATCAACATACACCACATCATCTTTAAGAGTAAGAAATACATCACACACACACACACACACACACACACACACACACGCACACACATGTGTTCTACTAATTGTTTTTATTTTTATAAACAGTTGAAATGCAAATGATGACAATATAACATGCAGCGTTTGTGAATATATACATATAAATTTATAAATTTGATAATTTGTCCAAAACTGGACTATGACACTGTTACACAAGTCTCCTTTTTCTTCAGTCACTATGATGAAAAACTTCGCCACAGACTATTCACATCATGTAGATGGAAAGAAAGATTTCCAATTCTAAGACTTTCCAGTTTTAACATCCTTTACCTGGCTATTCTCCTCCAGTCTTGCAGTTTATACTGGCTCTCTCCATTAAAATTTAGTGTTAGAAACTCCATAGTATGATTTATTAAACTTCTGACAGCCACCACATATTTTCTCAGAGATGGAAAGGTCAAGGATTTTATTAAACTTACACCAACACTTATTGACCTTCACCCGAATGCAGTGATATACGCTGTGACTCGTGACGTCGCGTCTAGCCAATGCGCACCATGGCAGCTTTGCAGTACAGCACACCTTATACAAATACATTCACAATAACGTGAAAATTGGTAACAGACGGCTGTAGGGATGATTTTTTAAAAAGTGTCATATATGAGATTATAAAGCATAAACCTGATGTACATCAAACACAACACTCAAAACACATAACACATGTAATAAACTGTACAACAAGCATAAACACACATACAGACACATAAAAGCATACAAATATACACAGTTTTCTGACACAGGTGTGGGAATATATTTGAAGTTCTGTAAGAGCGAGTGCTGAAACCACCCGCACCAGATTTGGATCTTATTCTGAGTGCTGTTACAAGACCTCTGCCTGATGACCTTAGAGGCCTTAGTGGGATTTAATAAATGAGTAAGTCATCGTCGTACTAGGAACACAAGCATAAAGGTGCTCTATTGACTATTGAAAGGATTTTCCGTGTATTACTTCAATCTACTATCAACATGAAAATGTAAAGTTAAGGTAACACATAATTAGTATAGCCAGTCATATTTGGCAAAATATTTTAATTATTTATGCCTACTCAAATGGTGATAGGCTGTATCATCTTCATTAACCAATTCATCAAACAATTTTTCTGATTTTTCTATCGGTGATCAGACAGCAGTAGCTTGTGAATGCTTTGTGCTTCAATGATACACCAGATATCCCAGTTTACAGGGATATCTGGTGTATCGTTTACAATACACCAGATATCAGGAAGCTGTGAAGCAGACTAAAAGAAACTGTAAACTGTTTACAATTTGTCTCTAGCACAAACAGTATCTAAGTAATTTAACCCTTGTGTGGTGTTCATATTTTTGTTACTCAGCCAGTGTTCATGGGTCTGGTGGACCCGCTAGAGTTTTGGCTTTCCAAATTAACTCTATCAAACAATTTTATGTTAAATTACTCAACAGATGTTTACTTCATCCCAATTACAAGACATATGAACAGCAAACATGGTTAATTTTTTCCCTTTACCTTTGTTAGATCACATTTATGAATTAATGTGCTTCTCGTTTTTTTTTTTTTTTTATAAAATGTTATAAAAAAAATAAATCAGTTATAATCAAGTGGAGTGAGTGGAAAGACACAACACATTTACACGTGAAGCAATATGTTTCACAACTAAATGACATCAGCTGCTCATCAATGGTGACATTAGGCCCAGGGTTGTAAAACAGGGGGAGGTGGTGCACCCACTTATCCCACACTGTCCTGATGGCAGCTAGCTTGTCTCTCTGCCGTCGAGCTGGTCTGTCATCTCGGTTATCAAAACGGATAATCCTGGAAATTTTGTTGAAGTTTTCCAGAGACATTGATGCACGGAAAGGTTCGTGCCGGTTTCTGCATCCCACAGGGATTCTGTGGATTCCCCTTTGGACCTGAAAACTCCTGCAAGGATAAGAACCCCAAAGTAGGCCTTTGGGGTTCTTAGATGAATTTGGTCCATCTCCTTCCACCTCTCTCCAAAAACACACCTTCATTCTAGATTACTGCAAACTAGAGCTGGACCGATCCGATATTACGTATCGGTATCGGTCTGCAAATCGGTATCGTGCTTGATCGTGCTGCAATCGGTATCGGTCTGCAAACCAGACCAGAATAATTTCTGGATGGAATCTGGGATGAAAAGCTCAAATGAAGACTTGATGTCCTGCACATGAGTAACTGTCAGCCGTGTTGGCCCTGGCTTATCACAGTAACAGCTCTGCAGGGTGACTCATTTCTTGGGCAAGAAGACCATTCAATTTCACCAGTTATTGACATCCATATTTCTTCACTTGCTGTCTGGTGGGCTTGTTCTGGTCCTGGAGCTGGCTGCAGATGGGGTACTCGTCTTCGTTTTGTTACTAAATGGTGCTCAACCTCATCCTCTTCTTCAAAGTCACTGTCAGACTCTGAATTTTCAGAAATGTGAAATATTCTGAAACCACTTTGTCAACATCATCATCCGAAGCTCCTCTCTCTTCCAAAATCAATTGGATGGCCCTCGCAGCAGATAATCTTTTGCCATCTTGATCAGTTGTGATAAAGAACCACACTGGCAAAGTCTTATTTATAGTATTATGCCCCTAATTTGCAGGAGGGACAGGGTATGAGAAAATAAAATTTGGATCCCTCAAGAAAGAGGGTAAAATGTGCGGGAATGTCAGAGCAGACGGTGTTGATAGTTGAATTTTCAACAGTGTTGGAACTTTGTGCGGGAGCAGGAGGGGAAGAAAACACTATCAGCAGCACCAGAAAGGAGGAAGACAGAGTGTGGGAACACAGGACCTACACTTTCAACACTTTTATTAGACCTGGGTCCAGTGGACCCGAACACCTTGTATGTAATGTAAATGCGTGGGGGGAGGTACAGTATGCGGTCATTGAAAATTTGTTCAGATTTATGTTCTTCACAGAAAATAAGCTAAAGCCAATGAATTTCAGGTTGAAAAAATAATTAATTGTTTAATTTTTCTTTTGAGAAAAACTGAAAACGGGTCTCACAGACCCGAACACCATACAAGGGTTAAAGTAAAAAGGTAAACAGGTAAAAAAAAATGGTTAAGATAAAATGAAAGATGCATCGAGGTCATCAGAGGAAATTAACATGTACAACTGCATGTCATCAACATATGAATGGCATATGAACAGTAACACATGTAGGAAGAGCAGTGGCGATATGCTCCATGTGGATCCTCAAAAACACCTTGTGTTGCTGCACAAAGGAAAAATGAAAGGCTGGTGAAAACATCGTGCTCGCTGTAAGTCAATGCTGAGGTAAAAGTAGATTTTTCTCATGGTACATGTGCTATATGTTATGAAATAAAATACATTCACTAATTTCTTTAAAAAAATATGTTCAAAAAATATTGTCTATAAAGTTAAGATTAAAATTTGGTTTGTAATTAATTCCAGAGTTTATTTACAGTTAGACTGAGAAAAAACAACTAACAGGTTTGTAGGGATGGAATCAAACCATTATGTTGCTATTCGAACTATTTAACTCGCTTCCTCTTGTGTCTTGTTGTGAGCTTTGCTTTGTGTTTAAATGTCTTAATTATCTCCTCATTGCCATCCTCAATTCCTAACCAAGCCCCTGTATGTATATACAGTCTCTTCATTGTTGAGTCATCTGTGTTCTCCTTTGATTTCTGTTTTTTGAATATCTTCATGGTCTTACTAGATTTATGTTTTTATTAATTTTTGGGCTTTGTTATTTTGTTTATTGAACTTTGTACCAATTCAAATAAATGGCTCACCTTTTTCTATGAAGCTCTACCATCTGTGTCTGAAACTATGGGTCCTTATCGCTCTCTAATCGGCACACAGCATACTGTGATAACACTGAAGAGTAAATGTTTAAATGCCTCAATGAATTCTGTCAGATTAACCCCTGAGTACTGTGAACACAGATTTTCTTTTCATGACAATGCATAATTCTTCTTCCCCAAGTTATTGTTATTGCCTTATTCGTCAGGACTGCGGTGCACAGATGATGTTTTGCATTTTGACCAAAAGGGAGACTTTTTAATACAATATTAAATCGACATTAAGCTGTGAACATTTAAAACTCACAAGTGGAAAAAAGGCCACCCCCAATGCAATCTCATACCATTCTGCATCATGTATTATTACCTTGTAATAGTAGAAACAAATTTTACTTACAATCATACTGGGGGATAAGTTTGCACGGGGGTATCACACAGGATGATTGGAAACAGCACAACGACCTCATCCAATGCTCCTACGTGGAGTTTAACCTGCAGGAAACAAAAAACAGAAGCTCATTAGATTTTAATGAATAAAAAAAGAAATGGATCCAAACAGGCTTTTGCTGTCTGAACAGCTGAGGTAAACTGGATTATCAATACATCCATGACTTCTCAACCCATCACAGGTACTAACCTCAATAATGTAATCAACAACCAGAATGCTGCACTCTGAGATGGTTAAAGATGCAGACGAGGGAATAGCGAGCATGATCTCAGTGCGTACATAAGAAACCTGAGCACCAACAGGTTCTCCTGACACACACGCCAAAGTTTTGATAGCCATCTTCCTGTTGCGCTTACTGTGGGTGTAGAAAGTCTGTTTCTGTTGCAGCTTCACCTTCGGAGTAGCTGTTTTAGATGAAGGGTTACTAAATTCACAAAATATTTTCACTGTTTCGCCTAGTGGAAGAAAAGACAAAGTGGCAAGTTATTTCAATCAAATTCTTCAAACTTAGCTATTATTATTGATTATACAGATAAAACGATTATCTGATGGATGGAAACCATACCAGGGGTGAAAGCTTTCGTCGCTACGCTGACTGTCAGAGTGACGGGACTGGAGTTACACCACAAGCTACACGGTGTCACGCTGTTTGAACCTGAGAGTGGCGCCTGCAGAAAAACAACACACTGATAGTGCCACAGATTTAAAAAAAAAAAAAAGTGTAATATACCAATACTACACTGTTTTGCTTTTGGGATTACGAGAAATCAACACCTATTTATTACTCTTATGCAGAAAAAGTTGCACATAATGAGCATCAGCGGACCAAATCAATCAAACAATGGCTTTAGAATAATATGAAGAAATGGAGCAATCCCATCATTCTCTGTTTCACTGCATATTTGCAGTAGCAGCTCAGGTTCCTTTGGCATTGCATGGTGGAACCGTATAAAACTCCAAACATATCCAACATTTGCTATAGTTACAGTAACAAAAAAAAAACCCAAAATCTTAAATTCATCACTTTTGGTCCCATAGTTACTCAGAGCCTCGGTGGGATTCATTTATTAGAAGTGAGAGCTTGTGTACAGTCTGGTTTGTGTCCATTTATTCGAAAAATACGTCTGAGAACATGAACAACTGAAGCACAATACAAGGTTCAATATAATAGTGGTCATTCAGTCTGTGTTGGTTACGACTGGAACATAATCAGATTTTAAAGATGTAAATTGTCTCTAAATGCAGTTAGACAACTCTGAATCATTCTTGTACAATAATTGCTCCCATAGGGTTGAATGAAAGTACAACAAAGCAAACCTGCGGTTGCAGAGCTTTTTCAAAGTCAACATATTGAGTTGTGAATGTAGGAAAAACATAGGTGTGGCAAGTAATTTCAAATTTTGGTTCACTTAAAAGGATTCCTGGGACAATTAGTCGAACAAGGTGTACTTAGGGAGGCCTGTGAGAAATATCAGTTTGATTACAGAGAAACTGCAGACACTGCAACAAAAACAAGGACTCCTCAGCTGATTCATCTGAAAATGCACCACTTACATTCAACCCTGGCTGGTTGGTATCAATGTGGTTTACAAACTTAAGCTCTGTCACAAAGTCCTTGGACATACGCCACGGTCTATTAATGCCCACTGTCAAGGTATATGCTATTTTTCCGTGAACCCCATGAAAGGACGATGGGAAGTTTCTGGGATGCAAAATAATAGAAAAGATAGAAAAAAAAGTGATTCAGGCGCATACAAATTCAACAGTTTTACAATAAACAATAAAAGTAAGCATTATGTTAATGAATCAAAAGGTTGAACTACAACACAAGTTGTAGGTTTTGGATTTTAAAAACCAAGGGCCCATTCTTATCTTATATCTACCAATCTACTAAATCTTTTAGCCTGCTTGACTTTGTCAGACACGTTCTGTTTTAGTGATTTCTTCATTCAGCATGTCTGGGAGTAATCAGGTCTGGGTGCTTTTTGTGAACTTAAACTCAGCTTTCCAAAATAACATGGCTATTCACCGTTCATTCATGATTTAACAAACAGAAATGCATTTAGCATTTTTTTTAAGGTTATCATTGTCTATTAAAATTTGTTTGATGAAAAAACAAACTAACTAAGAAATCAGGAAGGGGGTAAAGACTTTTGTCAGCATGCCTCCCTGAGTAAAACGCTTCACACGCTAGTGGGTGTTTCACAGTTAAATGGTCATACACACCCTAGTGGGAGCTGACATGTGAACGGATACACATGCGTCCCGAGTTGAAGTTTTGTCCCACGAGTAGCTATAAGAAAAGGACAAAGACAGTGACTGTTTGTTTGCCATGTATCACTGCGTCCAAACAGCACCAGTAACAGCATACCTCTGTCTTCTTGCAAAATAACTCCTTTTAAGTCGAAGAAGTCCAGCCTTGCAGAGTAACGTTTCCTCGTTTCCTGTTTCCCTCCACCTCCTCCGGCGGTCCAGTGCACATTCACGTTTCCCTTCAGCCTCATTGTTATTGAAGTGATCTTTGTTTCTTTTGTCAGATCAAAAGAGATGTGACCTATGATTTGGTCGCCACTGGAAAAACTATTTCGTCCATCGTGCCTGATAAAATTGATTTTGAAATTTCGGATTGTCTGCTCGAACATCTCAGAGAAACAAAACTAAAGACAAGTCTTACAGGAAAGAAAAAGTTTAATACGTCTGATAAATGCAATCGGACAGAAAGTGAGAACGGCCGAATCGAATAACTTTTTTCTAATCAACAAAAATAAAACTGCGTAGGCGACACGTTACTCCGGGGGGATCGCCCTGACATTGGGCGGAGTCACGGGTCAAGTATTACGTGACCTCCGTGGATCCGTCGAAATTTTAAAAAAGCATTTTAAAGTTGTCGCTTTTCGTTCTCCATTTAGCTCCCGTTACTTTTACATTTGAGATATTCACAACCACCTTTGTTGTTGTTGTTGTTGTTTTTACATGAAAGTAACTAATCTACTTTTAGTAAATATGAGTTGAGCCTGTTTTGATAAATATTCATATTTATGAAGCTGTAACATCCCTGACGTGTTGCTGTAATGTATTAACTTATGTGTGATTAACTTTTTTCTTATGGAAATATCACTGATTGTAATTTACGACTATTTAATTTATTATTATTCAATTACTTAATTTATTTTATTTGATGGATCTTTCCTTACATTAAATAGTTTATTTCTTAGGTAGATTATTTTTAAAAAAAAATTAAATTAGATTGGTTTACATTGATAGCATTCTTCTGACAAACTGGAGACTGTAAGAAACAGTTATAATACACAGTACAACCAATTTATTAGAGCACCACCCAATGCTTATGCCCCACAGCTGACATAAATTAACAACACTGGTAATATCCAAAATAACTACACCAGTATTCTCCAGCTGTTTAATCAAAATTATATATTTTTAATCTATTTTTATTTTGTATTATTATTATTGTGTTACAATTATTGTTTTGTTTTGTTGTTTAAGTTAACATTTTTGCAAAAGCTGATAAAAAAAATAGTAAGTAAATAACAATATAAAGTTTTTGTAAAATATTTATGTTTTCCTGTGTTTCTGACAGAAGGCTTTGTGAATTTTCTAAGCACTGTATATAATATAAAATCATCTGTCTACACAGGTATTATTGGGTTACACAACCAAATCCCTTTTTTTCCCTTTTGCTTTTCTTCCTCTTCCATGCTTCAAAATAACGTTTTGGCCTCGAGGTACTGCTTTTCTCATCTGTCTAATTAACTGTGTTTTTCTAATCTAAATGTGATCTCTTATTATAAGAGGAGACAGACTGTATCCACAATGAAACATTTAGAAAAAACTGTCATCATCAAGGTTGTTAAGAGACTTACACTTTCATATTTCAAAGCAAGTATATTTCTTAATGATGAACATTAATCAAAATTTGAAGTGCAAGTTTGACACTGAAGAATGTTTTATATATATATATTTTTCACTTATGAATAATTAACTTCAAATTGTTTGGAAATGTTTTTACAACACTTCCCAGATTGATGTGCAGTAACCATGTAATGTCTTTCCTGCTTTGCATTGTGTTAACACAGACCCACAAACTGCTAAAACCCCTGCTTTAGATGTGCTCACACTTGCTGATGATCAGTTGGCATTGGATTAGCACCACCTGTCTGCTACTTACCCTTTTAATTCCTATGAAAGCAGTAAGGGTGTACTTAGCTTTTTGCACACTGCTTCTGAATTTTGGCTCAGTTTCTGTTAAATAAATAATAACATGGTGTGATATGTCATGTTTTGTACTTCGCTTTTTTTAATGTCTTGCATCGAGAACTGAAAGAGAGCAGGCTTTCCTTGACATGACTGTAGTTGAACTAGCCTGACCTTTTAACAATGTGTAATTGTTACACCACTAGATGGCACTCCATACTTTATTGAGGCACTCTATCATATATTGCAAAGCCATGCATTATTATACAAAAACATACTGACAACATCACTCGCCATTGCAAAACCCAAATGTCATGTTTCCATTATGTGGAAATCAATTATTTCAGAACTACTCACTGAATAAGCTGCAGTGGCATTTTACTGTGTTATGCTTTAATAAGAAGTGTTTTAACTCCCCTTTGATGGGTTTATAGTACACAATACAGCCATAAAATGAAGATAATGACCCATTAAAACTGACAGCTCACGACATTTAAAAACTCCTGGCACAAGTTAACCTGGACACATATCTTTTCAGACCTGCTCGCTTGCCACTTTTGAGAAGGGAATAGACCAGTCAGCAGCCTCTTTAATTTCAATGGAGAGTATAGTGAGCCACAACATGCAGTGCAAAGGACTTACGGGAGTTTGTGATTTCGGCAGCCAAATATCACTATGTGTAAGAGACTTGCTGCTTTGTAGTGCATATATACAGGATGTTAAAACATATACAAGTGACTGACAGCGATCACAGACTACCCCACACAGATAACCGTTCAGATTATCTGTTCAACGCTGCCAGTAGAACACATTTTACCATCGAGTTTAGAGAAGTTACTAAGAACATCTTTCATTAAACCGACCTTCCAGTCTGGTGCCAATATTATAAAGGCCTGAACATTTATTTTATGGTTTATGTTATATGTTTTAGGTGTGCGCGTGTGTGTGTGTGTGTGTGTGTGTGTGTGCGGGCCTTTATAAATGTAAATGTTTGACAAGACTGTTTGCAATATTTAGATCATAATCTCAAGACAGCGCTTCAGCTGCATTTTAAAACAGGACGAGCTGAAAAGCAGAGGTCGGTTTAATCAACAAACTTTAATGATGTCTGTTATTCAACCACTCAAAGACTCCAGGCTTATAAACAATGGAAAGAATTTATTGTTGCAATAGCGCGGGAGACGCCACTTGTGGAAAGCTCAAGATCCCAGCTGTTGCAGAAGAACTTTGGTTTTGTTAACAATTACAATCCCTTTAACACTAGCACCAAGTCTAGCTAGTGGATAAGATAGCATATAAAGCACAGGAACCATTTCTCCTCTGCTTTTGTTTACCTTTGTTGGACAAAATAAAAGATAAAATCTCACGGAGCCATTCTAAACTGTAAATTAGTTCATTAACTTTAGCTAGTAGTTATTTTACTGTTTAGAGTTAATTATTATTTCAAGGTTGCAACTTGTTTACAACTTGTTTAGATTTGGTCTTTTTTCTATTTTTCACTCATTTTCAGTCCCGTCCTTGTACCTGATCATTTCTGGAAAGATGGTTTTTGTCTATTAAGATACTTGAACACTAAACAGTGAACCATTCAGACCTAACTTGAGGGCTGAACCACACAAAACAGATAAATTAGCAAGACACTGGTTTTAAATCGTGTCGTTACGCAGGTACATTGCTGACAGACAAACTGAAATGTTTGGGAGAATATAATCACTTTACCTGTTTTATCTTCAAAGCAGATTTTTGAGTCAAAAAGACCTGAATGACAGAGTGAATGATCTGAAGTCCTGCAACGAGTCTTCTCAGAGTTGATGCAGTGTAGTAAAAGTTACCTGGTTGTTGTGAATCTGGAAATTTAAAGTGAATGAGTGTTTGGCACATTTTGCTATTACGCTAGAGAGTTGTAGCAACATGATCTGCTGATTCAGATCTTCACATGCGCGTGTGTGTGTGTGTGTGTGTACTGCTTGAGTGCACTAGCACACACGACCATTCATAATAGGCTTAGCAGTTTCTGATAAGGGCACCTATCAGGTTTAGTTGAGCTCATGGTGACTTGACTTTTCCTGCCAACTCAGTAAATCAACCACACGTAGTATGATGGCTGCGCACACATCTGCCTATCCATATCTTTATCTCTGAGATATCACATCACAGTGTTAGTTAAACCACACAGCAGCTGGTATTCTGATCTCGTCAGCTGGTTCGTGCAACATGTTTCCATCATTATCAAAGTTTCTGTATTGCAGACTGTTTTCTTTTGTTTTACATGAGCTCGAATTGTGGATTTGCTTGTGAATCTTCTTTTTTCTTGTTACATTTCACCACTTTAATGTCCTCACAATCTTGATTTCTGAAATGATTTCTGTTTTGGCTACATGTAACCCCGTTGTTTGTTGTTCAAGAGGAGAGCAGACATTTCAGTAATTCAGACCTAAATCCAAAGTGAAGTAAAAGAACCCAGAGGATAAGCCGCGTTATTGATCTGTAGTTTCTACACACTGCCTCTCTCCTCTAGTTAATCCACAGGGTCAGCTCTAATGACATTGAGGAGCTCCTCTGGCAGTCAGCACTGCTGCCATTTGCAATTTAGATAGAGGGAAAGGAGACGAGGAGGAGGAGGTGTATGAGGGTGAAAATGAGGAGAGAACCTGAAAGACGGGGGAGAAAAGGAAAAGATGAGGCAGAGAACTGCGGTAAGCTGAAAGAGAAAGACAGGAGGGATGCATGCACTGCAGGAAAAGGTTTTGGGAAGGCAAAGACAGAAAATACATCAGGTGGATTTGAATGACAGGAAGTCAGAATGTGGAAAGAGTTGGGGCAGCTTAGTTGTGCACATCATGTCTTACAAATGTATGACAAATGACATCAAATCCAAATACATACTATGAAAATAAGCAGTTCAAAATTGGAGGAAATATGCTTATCCACAGTTTTCCTGATGGTTATGTGGAAATTTTGTCTCCAGCTTAGTTAGATCAGGATAAAGGCAAAAAATTTATAGGAACTGAAAACACAGCTTTCAGTACCAAACTGTAAAAATATGAATTGTTCATTTGAAAAGCAGGAGCCCTGTGCACACATAAGAATCTCCTCATCTAACGTCAGCATGTTTCTAAAATCTCATAACTATTCCTTAAACCAGGATGTGGAGGAACCTTAGTGTCTGATGGAAACATTTAACATAGAGCTTCAAAAGAGAACTTTTACATTTCTAATAAGGCTCATGCTGAGAGGAAAGGATTAACTATGTCAGACGTTTTTCTTCAGTTATGTCTTTTCTTTTCTATTTTGCACTGGCTGATAGAATTCCTGCGGCAAAACAGGAAAGCGCAAAGGGAACAGTTGGCAAACCTAATCTTGTGCAGATCCTCTGATAGCTTTCTTCTCCACAAACAATGCTGGTCCAGACTAGAAAGGCTCAAGAAGGGTGCTGAAAGACCCAACAACCAGGCAGAGCCAAGCTCTCTATCAGCCTCTGACAGCTCAACACTCAGACACGTTCATTTAGTGGCAGGAAGATATAGCTAAATCACCTCAGAACAATCGTGCCACTTAATGCTTCATATCCTCTGTTGTTGTTGTTTTTTTCTTTTTGT